ATAATGGCTTAAAAAGCTTTAATTAAGTCTAGGCAGTTTTAGCCTTAAAATGTTGGGAAAAGGTTAAAAGCAGAAACAAACAACACCTTATATATTTAAGCTACCGTGCTTTATAAACTGGACCGGTTTTTCGTGACGGTCTGCGCGCGCCTCGTAAAAATCTACTCTCATAATTTTCCCTAACGCGCCAAAAGAAGTATAACTTCAAAAAAAATGTGGACCGAATTGTGAATCTTTACCATTCTCGCATCGACCTGAAGACACACAAAATTTCTCTAAAATCGGTCCAGGCGTTTAGGAGGAGGTCAATGACATACACACATACAGAAGAAATATATATAGAAAGATACATATTTAAATTATTATATGAATACGAATAATTCGCTTTTCTAGGCGGTCAGTCTTTTCTAAAAATCATAATCATTATTTGCTTTACCGAAGTTCCCCAAGAGATTTATGGAGAAACGTGTACACTTGTATAATACGTATAAATGTAACAACAAATTTAGGAGAATATATACCTAATACCTTACTTCAATAGAATAGAGATAGACAGTGTTCCCCATCAATAAATTAAATATTCATTTCATTTAATTATCGATATTTTAGTATCTTAAAATGCTCCAATTTTATGCTTTTTCTAAATTATTTTAATTAGTGTTGCGCAGATAATATAAGATTTTTATCTATAGATACGTTGTAAACCAGTGCTTAATCTGTTAGGATACGTGATTTAAATGGCTTATAAATGGACAATTAAATGGTCATTAGAGATGGTGAATCGTTGAAATAAATTTGTTTTATTTTTTGACTAGCTCCTTCGCATAAGTTTAAAGACGACTATCAGTTAATTAAATATAATCTAGTCTAGCTCCAATTTCGAATTTAATACTTCAAATTGCCATTCGAAACATCCTTATCAAAATGCTAAAACCTTTTATCATTTTGAATAATTAATTCGTTAAAAAATAGATAAGTAAGTTATTAACAAAGTATAAGGACAAAACTCACTCTCATGACTCGATATTCGCACGCGTCAATGGATCCAAAATGGATCATGGGACAATGTTTTTGAATATATCTCACAATTTATAGTACTTAAATGCTGTTTTTTGAAAACTCGATGCAAATTAATATATATTTTTTTTCATTTCTTATAATTCAAATGTTACATGTAGTAATTGCTTTTCATTAAAATTTCATTACATAGCTAACTACTTAGTAAAGTTCATTAATGGTGCCCAATTACGGCATAGAGATGTCTGAATTAGCTCTATTTATAATCTGTTAATTGCTGTAACAAGTTGAACATCTACAAAAACTTTTTAATTGGACTATTTTGTCATCTGAACTCATCAACTGAATTTTTTCATCAACATTGTAAATCCAACGAGTCATTGATAGAGAGGGTTGTTATATGTGCAAGATATGATGAAAGTGTATCCTTCGTTGCATCTAGTCCGAAACTAACATTAATACATTTTCATAAAATATAACATTAGGTACTACTGGACACTACACACTGAAGATTTATGTAAGTGCTGAATTATCACGTGCTCACCGGTGAAGGAAAAAATCGAGAGGAAACCTGCATATTGTCGAAATAATAACAAAAAAAATATTTCGAAGATATGGGAAGTCCGCAAATCCGCAGTGGGGCCGCGTGGTGGATACCCTCTGTACAGAGGAAGCCTTTGCCCAGCAGTGGGACATGTATAGGCTGATACTTTTTTCATTTTAATAACCGCTCTATACTTAAATGCATATGGATTAAATTAACATGTTTTACAATTTTTGTCTGTCTGTTTGTTCCGGATAATCTCTGAAATGGACCGATTCTGACATGACTTTCATTGGCAGATAGCTGATGTAGTAAGGAGTAACTTAGGGTACTTTTATTTTAGACAATTTATTTATTTTAAATTCCACACGGGCACAGCCAGTTGTGAATAAGGTATCCTTTAGGATGTAGTTCCTTTAGGTAGGAACTCCATCGCAGATCCACTTATATAGTCCACTTTATAGTACAGGACTCTTGTATAGAGTTTTCCTGCGCAACATATGACTTAATATAACTAGACATTAACTTCCAAAGAATTAACTTTCTCAATGCAATTCAACCAATCTTTACCTCTCTACGTAGAGCTTTAGTAAAATTGCACTTCGTTTCAGCTGCCTATTCGCAATATAATCAACCAGAAATAACTAATTGCCAGCCAGGAGCGTTTGGCTTATTTAAACAAAGTTTAATTGTACCACACTTTATCTAATTATAAAGACAGGGCTTGCCTCCGCTTGGAGGCATTTAGGGCCTCATTTTTAGTATCGATATCGTTCATTTGCTTTCTATCGTTCAAGATACAATCATACTAAAATTTAATACAATTGGATTAAATTGTAAAATATTTTTCATTTACTTTAAACATTAGCTATCCATTATTTAAGACGCATTAATATTCTTCTTTTCTTGTTTTATTCATTTATTTGTTATATATTTTACTATATCCCTTTTTTATCCATTTTTTAATTTTGCAAATATATAAACGAGGGGAAGATGAATCAATCTATGCACAGAAGTACAAAGTTCTCCAAACTATGTTACCACTACCCCTACTTTTTGTCTTTTTTTATATGATATCTTCGCCAGCCTTTAGGCATATGCAAACCTTCTCCAGACCTCGTACCTATAATAATACAGTTCACGGGCATATATTTCTGCCCATTATTAGCAGCCCCCTTATTTTATAAAGGTACTCATTTATTAATGTCTCCCATTTAAAAAAAAAATCATCGCATATCTAAAGAATGAAACGCATCAGCGTCGTTCGACATTTGTAAGGAAAATAGAACACAATTTCCATTAATTTTCATTGCAATTATAAAATGTCGATAAATTTAATGTCATGAAGGCACATCACTACAAAACGTCTCGCACATTAACCGTTGTAATAAAGTTCTTGCTGCGATAATAGACTTAGCGCTTTGTTCAATCATTCATTAACACCGCGGCCACCGTAATTAGAGCTATCTCAACTGGTTATATAGCACATGTTCAGTTGTAATTTCCATTGTTTCCGGGCGGGGCGGGGGCCCACGCCATTTGGCGGTTTCAGGAGTGGAACCCGAGTGGAGGTTGCCATATATCACTCGGAAATTTGAAATTCTACGAATGAATTAAGTTTAAATTGATCCCGCCGTCGGTTTTAATTAATCGTGAATTACATTCGCAAAGTTTTAGCGTACCGTTATATGTTTTATTTGATATGATAATTCCAACGTAATTTCCATAACAGTTGACAAAAAGTAATAGTACTTATATAAAATATCCCGATTAATAAGATTTTATATCTGATTCTTAGGAAAAACATTCACAAAGTTTTTTTTTTCTTTAGAAAATATTTTATATGATTTGTTTAAAGGGACATTGATTCAAATGCATTTAAAGTTAACGAGGTGAAACAGTATAATAGAAAACATATATTGACGATTAAAATATACCCATATCCTCGAGAGTAACTATTAAATGAATTTATAGGCATTTCTTGCCTCGCACAACCACTCTGTGGAACCAACTGCCGCCGGCGGTCTTTCCGAACCGTTACGACCTGGGAACCTTCAAAAAGAGAGCATACTCTTTCTTGAAAGGCCGGCAACGCATTTGTGAGCCCTGGGGTGTTGCAGGTGTTCATGGGCGGCGGTAATCACTTACCATCAGGTGAGCCTCCTGCTAGTTTGCCCCTTTTCTCTTCATCCTTCTCCTTCTTATGATTAAGTCATAAGACAGGGGTGGCAGCCGCCAAAAAATCAGCCAAACCAACTGCTCATTTCTTGCCTTCTTCTATAACTACGCATAAGCTAACTGCAAATGCTGAAAACATGCATCATGACAACTGTGGAAGGGCCACGTAACAGTCTTCGCTGTTGATTGAAATGGGCACGTCCGTTCGGGGAAGTAAAACGGCCTCACAGAAGACCAAAGAAAGTGGAAGTTTTTCTTTAATGTGAAAAGTTGCGAAACGAGCAGACGGTTCATCTAATGTTAAGTGAATACCGCCGCCTACGGACATCTGTTACACCCGAGGGTTCCAGATGCGTTGACAACCTTTTGAAAAATTGGCTTCGGCTACCTCACTCGCCAGGCGAAACGCGAAAGTATTGTACTCCACTTTACGTAGGCTTCTGTGAGGTCGTGGTACTTACCCGGACGAGCCTGCCCATTCGTGCAAGAGCCGAGGCTGCTGCGTGGCCCTACCACCGTTAAAAGTGTTATACTTCTGCGTTTCGTCTGGCCAGTGAGGTAACCAGGGCCCACTTTATCAAAAGTGGCAACGCATCTGCAACACTGCGGGGGTTGCAAATGTCTCTCCGTCATACGTTCTATATCATCTGTCAAATTAACTTATAAATGTCATAAAATGTAAAGCGGAACAATTTTGAACGGCGCCCAGAAATTGACATGCGTCATCTTTATTTAAACATCATTGGCTGCATCTTATAACCAGTATTAAAGTAAGTCGTTTGTATAAAAATCGGTATATTAATAATTGAACCATTTAAGCGAAACCCAAAAGCTTCTGGAATATTATATAAATGATGTTTTCATTTAAATGCTACCTACCAGTAGGTACCTAAATAAAACGTCACCCCAAATCGCCGATCGTTAAACATCGCCTTGAAACTTTCGATAACGACAAAAAGAGGACTCTGCACTTAATTGAGACTCTTTAGGTCAGCGAACACTAACGATGTGAGCTTAAAAGCATTATTTGCAACGTCGTCCGTTTGATTTGCGTTTTAATTAGCGCACTGTGAGCCCTATTGCCTGGGCGATAGGGCCAGTTAATATGCAAATCGCCTCACAACATATCTGTACATGCAAATGATTGTTAAAGAGTCCGCTCGGGTACCGCTCGCTATCTTAATTAGTAAGATACAACGAGTCACGTACGACCTTTCGGAACTCGCATTAACTACCGCGGCATCGGAGCGAGATTGTGGAAATGTTGGCGATGGAACTGCTTCAGAGCGTCATATCGATATCGCAACACGGGCTACTGTGGCCCGATAAACGTACGAAACGGCCGGCGTGTTGCTCTCAAAGGAATCCGTAAGTTTAACGAGTTGATAAGCTAAACGTTCTGTTGGTGTTTTTAGGGTTCCGTACCCGAAGGGTAAAACGGGACACTATTACCAAGACTCCGCTGTTTACATGTCTGTTTGTCCGTTTGTCAACAGGCTGTATGTATCTCATGTACCGTGATAGTGTGACAGTTGAAATTTTCACAGATGATGTATTTCTGTTACCGCTATAACAACACATACCTAAAAACAAAATAATAAAATAACATCTAACAACAAAATAATAAAACATTTAAGTAAGGCTCCCATACAACAGACATAATGTGTTTGCCCTTTTTATAGATGCCTTCGTGCGCGTCCGACTCGCACTTGGCTGGTTTTTGAAATGCTTTGTCGTTAATATTTATACCCAACAGTAGTGATTATGTAATACGTTTAAAATATCACAGAATCTTCCCCCGTTTGTTTTCTTTTTTGCCGCTGGATACAAGTAATGTTTTATTATTAAGCCGCATTAAAAACATCTCTATATTTACTAACGTGGTTCCGCTTAAATTAACGGCAAATAACAATTAGAAACCAACCTTTATATGATCGTTTGAGTCAGAGCTCAGTCCGTTCCGATAAAATTCACGGCAAAAGTTAATTTCGCAAAAGTCGCGTTCCTCGCCGAAGTTAAAGTTCAAGTACGCTTCTACTTTGCCGTGTTAATATTTAAAGAAAAGAGACGCTTAGCCTAAGTGTGTTCACCCCTTTTAAGTTGAGGCCACTAAGAGTTAAGTTGGTCTATTAAGTACCGGGTCTTTAATGCATGGCAAAGTGAACGAGGCGACGCGATCATGATATTAAGTTTTGGCCTAAAGTACATCCCTCTTTTATTTCTCTCTCTTAAATTATTCTCATTATCATTAAAAGGACATTATTAAAAAAATATGCGTGTACTTATGTACGCACGTAAGAAGTTATACTTCTTCGGCGTAACAAAATCAAAATAACTAAAAATTGTATCCCCTGTGCCAGTACTCTTTGTGAAAAAGACATTAAATGCAATTGATAAGGGTTTAATTAACTAAAGATAAAGATAAAGGGTTTAATAACTTAGAATTATAGGTAATGTGGAATGTCAAAAGGTTGTTATTTGTTGCCATGTTACCGTGAAGAGGTTGGTCTTTGCAACCGACATAATTTTTTCCAAACACGCCAAAAGAAGAATAACTACAAAAAGGAGGTGCATTTGTTGTCAATTAATCATTTGTGGAGCTTTTTTCTTGATTTTTTTTTATGTTAAACGTTGTCAAACGAGCAGAAGGTTCACCTGATGTTAAGTGAATACCGCCGCCCATAGACAACTGCTACCTCAGAGGGTTTGCAGATGCGTTGACAACCTCTTTGGAAATTGGGCTCCGGGTACCTCACTCACTAGACGAAACGCGATAGTATTTAACTTCCACTTGACGCCGGTCTTTTGTGCCTTCGTGGTACTTACCCGGACGAGCCTGCCCATTCGTGCAACAGCCGAGGCCGCTGCGTGGCTCTACCACCGATGATTGATGAATTTGTCTTTTTTAACCTGCAATAGGATTTTATTAGCTGTGAATACAAATAATTATTACCATCATTGGCTAGACGAAATATTGTATTCTGATATTAAAGAAATACTTTATGGCTGTCTAATATAACATGGAGTTATTGAAAAAAAAAATCATAAAAATGGTTTCCAAAGTGATACAAGATTGTCACTTCCAGGATTTAGTTGGATTTTCGTCTTTGATAGTGATTTCAAAATGCCCCAACTGGCGGTAAGACCGATCGTGAAACAGATATGAGATGAAGTCTTGAATAACATTGATTAATATCAACGTAGTAGGTTCATACTTACTACATTACTAAAATACTACGTTAATAAATGATAGCTCATTGGCCAGGCGATCGCTTTTAATCAAATATACTTAAACAACCTGAGTTCAATTCGTTCCGGCACCAATTAAATTGTTAATTTAAAGTGCCGGCTTATCACGTGCTCAACGGTGAAGGAGAACATCTTTAGGAAAACTACATAGTTTTGGAATAAAAACATAAAATAAAATGTTTCGAAGATATGTCAAATCTGTTAACCCGCAGTGGAGTCGTGTGGTGGACTATGCCATAAAACGCTGTATACACAGGATGCCATTGCCCAACAGTGGAACACATATAGACTTTACTTTACGATAATATTGTGTGTAGATATAATAATTATGTCTGTAGATACTAGAAAATTTATAAATTAAACTACAAAATGGTTACTAAGTGACTCTTCGTTAAAACGCTGTAAGGAATGCCGTGGTTAACTGAAGCGACGATTGGTTGAACTTATCCGTCAACGGATTGAGCATAAAATCTGGTGATATCATATATTATGTAAAACACTGCATTACGTTAAAAGGGTCTGTTACTCGTCAAGTCGGTCGGTTTATGAAGGCGTAAGGAACGCGCCACTTGACTCTAGGGGCCAAACTTGTGAGATGCGTTGAAGTAACTATTTCCACGATATTATACGAAACAAAAATAAAAGAGAGTCTTCGAGTAAAACGGTATTTAGGTTCAAGATATAATCTGTCTATCTCTTAACAAAACACAAGTGGTTTCGTGACGTAGAGATATTTTTATTTTTCGTAACAACGTTGAAGTGTTAGTTCACGTTTAAATACTGATGAAAACTCTACGGAAAAAGTAATATTTTGATGTTTACAGACTTCTGCTTTAAAAAATTAGGCTTTTGTTTAAAAATTCACGCGCGTGATAATCGTTGATTGAAAACCAATACTGTGGTAGGTTCACCTATTCTTTCACCTTTCGCCGAGTAGAGATCAGCTAAGAACGGATTTTACGAAATTCCACAAAACAACGTTTGCCGGATCAGCTAGTATATAATACAGCGTGTCTTTACCACCGCGACAATAAATGAACACACGTCTAACGCCACTTGCCAATAATCATAAAAAATATTAACGTTAAAAAAATCCGTAATTTAACAAAAATATTTTTCAAACATACTAATTAAGTTAAAAAAGAGACAAAATTTGTAACATCCTATACAACTGCATCTGGCTGATTCATACATTCAGAGTCTTTTTCTTTCGTTGCCACAGCGCCGCATTACAAGCCTCTACTTCTAACAGTTTGTTTTGTCTCTTTTAAATTCATTCAATGCTTTCATATGCTTTGTGACCTTTACAAATGAACTTTACATTAAAGTTTTATAAAACTTAATAACTCGTTAAATATTGATGTTTAAAGATTGTAAATCTTTAATACAATTTTAAAAAGCTATCCTCTATATGTGTGCTCATTTATTGTCGCGATGGTAAAGACACGCTGCACATATGAACCGCTTGCTCGTTTGACTAATGTTCGCAATATAAAAACCCAATATATCTGCTCTATATACACCTCTGGATATCTGTTTTAAAACCGTTGACTTCATTCTCGCTAGTTCGGATCCGATTAACAGTAACATTAAAACACGTCAATCCTTATGAACTACTATCGACCAAATTGCTGCCGAGTAGGATTATGAATAACTTAGTAGGCTAATTCGCCTGTCTCCGCTCATGATAATTGACGTGAATCAAGTTAGAGACCTCTGCCGGCGCGTCTGAGAGCCGTGCATTATTCACAACTAGATCGGAAACTTCGCGTAGGCCGGCGACCATCATTGCTAAGTGTACGCACTATGAATCCTATTGAGCTTAACAGTTTAAGCACAATAAGCGTTATAAATAGCTTAACATACAGTTTACGAGTTTAAATGCAATAAGCCATATCTACTGATTTGACTGACATGATTCTATTGACATCTCACAAGGTCTTATAAGGTGCGGTGGATTTTTCATTCTGTATATAAAGAATTATGTTGGTACACCATTTTTTCCTTCTGTATTGCACGAAATTTGGGCGTGAATTTAAAAAATACTTTCAAAAGGCCTTTGGTTCTGTACCAGTCTATGTCGTTATACCCTCTATAGATGAAAAAATCAAAAATAAGACCAGATAGGAATCAAATGGAGGGTATTAGTTATATTAGTCAACAGTTTTGCTGTCAGTTTTGAGTTCGTAAGAGCTTGACACTTAGTGCCACAGAAGAAGCTATACGTGGCAATTTGGATTAGTGGAGAGGATTATGAAACTCCTGTTTTACACCATGGGAATATCATCGCGTAACGTTATTCTTAAGCAATCTTGAAATCAAAACACGGCATCTGAGTTTAGCTTTTTGTGTCAGCAATTAAACAGCGATTGCGGAAATGAATAATGACGATGCTTTGTGCCTGCCCCTTATGTTTTAAATATTTTTTAATCTGCCGTACGTGTGTTTAAACTTGGAATGAATGGGAAAAAGTAGTAGATAATTGACTTAAATGACTCGATTATGTTTACATAATATATTACAATGTTAATGTAATGTTATTACAATAGGTACGTGTAATTCTATTTTTATACATTAACATAGTTACATAAAGGTACACAGGTACAGATTATCGTTTTTTTTGAAATAACTATGAATATAATCATACAATGGTCGTCGGGTAGACTAATACAGTTTTAAGTTTAAATTTAAGGCCATAAATTCCTTAGTAAGAGTTTCATTTAATGATAATTATCTTCATTATATTGTGTAAAATAGAGTGCACATTATAAATAAAAAGTATCGGCGGTAAAGGAATGCAACACAAAGAAACCTGAATATTTCAAAATAATAACAAAAAAATTCGAAGGTATGTAAAACCACCAATCCGCAGTGGGGTTGCGTGGTAGACTTTACCCCCTATACAGAGGCCTTTGCCCAGCAGTGAGATGTCCCACTGTTTCTTAACCTGTGCCCTCTAACGCTGCATCTGTTCCAACGTGGGGAATTAAAAACTAAATGCCCGACTTTTTTAACTGTGGTAGGGCCACGCAGCAGCCTCGGCTGTTGCACTAATGGGCAGGCTCGTCCGGGTAAGTACCGCGACCTCGCAGAAGACCGGAAAGTAGAAGTACTTATAATACTTTCGCGTTTCCTCTGGTGATTGAGGTAGCCGGAGCCCAATTTTCAAAAGGTTGTCAACGCATCTGCAACCACTATACACTTAACATCAGGTGAACCGCCCGCTCGCTTGGCAAATTTTCACTTAAATTGATCACCATTTACGTTTACAGTAATGTTGTAAAACCCGCTAAAGTAGTAATTTACGCGAGTCGCGTACAGACCAGAGTCGATAATTTTTAAAACTAAAAAAAAATAATAGTAGGATGAAACGCATTGGAAAAAAATCGAGATAAGCCGTTTTTTTACCCTTAAAAACTCACCCCCTACCAGTTCCCGACCTCCGATCGCCCGTATATTATTTTTCCTTTCATTTTTGTTATATGGTCTTCCTTTTCCAATGGGTTTCCTACTACTATTATTATTTGTTTTTCACTGTTTACCATTTTTAAAGGCTTCAGCACTGGTCTATAAACGTCCCCGGACATACATAATACTGTTGGCACCTTATTACCGATACTGAATTATTAACATCTGATCAGCGGACACTCAGCGGCCGATGCATAATTGACGCGTGCCATTACGGCACTGGCCGTGTTGTGTAGTTTACAACCGGGCAAGGATTTAATGAATGGATTATTTGTTAACTAATTTGTACAGGTTAATGAGGCGCGTTATTGGCGATCGTCTTTTCAGGGTTCCATACCCAATGGGTAAAACGGGACCCTGTTACTAAGACTCCGCTGTCTGTCTGTACGTCTGTCACCAGGCTGTGCGACCGTTTTTTTTTAACTTAACAATGAAAGAGCAAGAATCCTTCTGTAGATAACATTTAAAGCATTTGCCGTGACGGCTCTATGTTCGTGGGGTTCCCACACTTTTTTTAAATACCCTAGGTTATATATTTTTTATTTTTATTTTATCATTTTGCAATACGTCAATATGCATCGATATATAAATAAATTCGTACATTTTGTCGTACTTATTTATTTCTGCAAACTAAAATAACAATCATTGAATGACGATGTGTGGTCTGAACAGTTCACTGTATTTCTTGTAAGATTTATATCGGACCAAGCAGTTAATCCTCTAGTAATTGAGAACTACCGATTTTAAACAAATAACACCAGATATGTTGCAGGAAAGCCTACATATTTCCACTGCTGAGCAAGTTCATAAACAATCTGCAATGCCTTTATAGATTAGCAGACTTTACGTATCCTCGGAAAATTTTTTTTCAGGAGCACGTGACAAGTCAGCACATGTAATTGCAATTCACAATTTCGTTGGTGCCGGCAACGGGATTTGAATTCGGGTTGCTCGAATACATCGAATTAAAAGCTAGCCCTATTATGTTTATTGCGGAAATCTCATTAAAGGCGGTTGCTTTATTGCAGACGCCAAACGGCCGAGGAGAGGGAGGCGGAGAGGCAGGCGGCGAACCGTTTGATGTTGTCCCTTCAAGCGGAGGCGCTGAGCAAAGGCTACATGCCGGAGCCGCCGCCGGGTGCAGCGCCGCTGTCAGCGCTTCATTACCAGAGCCCCGCTAACACCGCGCCCGCCCCTCCAGCGAACACCGCTTTAAGCGCTTTGCAGAATCTGCAGCCCTGGGCGGGGAGTCAGGGCGGCTTCATGGGCGCCCCTACTACCAGCGCGCCCCCCCATCCGCCGCCCGTAGCGTCGCCGATATGTTGAAGCGGTGCTAACAGGCAGGGTACAGTCATGGTCACCGATGTCGAAGCGATGTACAGTCTAACGCGCAGTCTTGAAATTGTATGCAACTGCTTCTGTTTCTAACACACGCTTAGTGTCCGAATTCATTCGAATTCTATGTACTTAAACATGATCTGCTCACGTCTTTTTAATTTCTATATACCCGTACAATGGTACCTGTGTATGCATTCCAAGTAAGATAAAGTAATTACTAGTATTGTCGAGTGTAAATAAAAAATAATTATGTTAACAACGATATTCCGTACTATTAAGTTTATGTTTCGTACTGTAAGATTACAAACTGTGTAGTTAAGCAGTGTTATAGATTTTATGTAAATATTATGTAAGGACACTCACGTATTATATCATACGAATCAATTTTATAATAACTTCAGTGATTTGCTTCGACTACAGTAATCCGCAAACCATAAATGAATAAGCAAACGATTAAGTATTTTATAGTGATATTATAGAAAAAAGATATTTTTGTAGATGCATAACAAACTTATGGCTTTCATCCCTTAATGTTTATACAATGAAAAAGTATATGCACAATTACTTATAAAAGCAAGTACGCAAAAGTTTGTGTTTAATTTATTACAAAAATAATATTAAATTGTTGATAATATCAAGCCCTTGTAAATATATCCATTCAAATTACTTTAAATAGAATATATTTATGTATAATGACTAAGTATTTCGAGTTGTACAGATTTAATTAAGCGATACATATCGCTTTGCGTTACGATAACCTTGTATATATTAAATTTACATATATAATAACTAGTACTTAATATCGTCGGAATGACGGATCACGTAATTGAATACAAGTTCATAATATGTCATTGGGGTACCATTTACATTGTTTTTTCTTGTGTTTTTAACTGAGATAGCAAACGAGTAGGTGGCTCGCTTGATATCAAGTGTTACCCATGGACAATAACAACAGTTGTGGGTTGCAGATGCCTTGCCAACCCTTAAAAGAATAGGCATCGGTTACCTCAATATCATTAGGAAATTCAAAAATGTAATATTTCCTCTTCACACTTTCTGCGAGGCTCAGTACTCCACTAATCAAGCTTAGTTGTTCGTAAACAACAGAAGCCGAGGTTTGGCTCCACCATAAATAGTATTAATCAGTGTTAAACACATTGTGTTTGTTTAAACTTTCGCCTGGACATTGCCACGAACACTAAATATCCAAGTCCATCACGAAAACAATATAAATTATTCAGCCGTATATTTATGAGCTAAAAAATTCTAGTAACATTTCATTACAGCTGTTATAAGCAATTTTTTTCCAGCTGTACAGCTTTTGGCTAAAATCTAAACTAAAGACTAACTAATTTATGAAAGATGAATTTTCAGTATGTGGCCACTTGTAACACCATACGGAAAAAAAATAAAGGAATAAGGGGGCATAAATCGAAATTGTAAATTATAGCGAATTAAAATAGCGCTGGTTAGCAGATGCTGAATGTTTTTTTTTTTAAATATAATATAAAAATTTCAAGCAAAATTGCCTTGTTTCATTATTCCCGTGTCGAAAATAAATATGCAATATCTCGTATGAGTTTGTGAAATATATTTCTGGATCAATACAGTTGACTCTGTATTGTTAGTGTGGGAATCAATAGTTTTGATTCAGAACCGCTGTATCTAGTGAGATTTTGTGTGCTTATAACGGAAAGTGATAATCTTACAAGCCTGATGTTAATTGATTATCGCCGCCTATTGACAATCTCATCATTCCTGGGTTTGCAGTTGTGATAACGACCATGAAAAGGATTACACCACTCGGAGGACGAAACGCAAGAGTATTCTTCGGCTCTAGGTGGTCATGGAATTAGTCAGGAAAAGATATGATATATTTTTATATAATCATATCATCATCACCATTTCAGCTCGTTTAGTCCATTGCTGAACTGATCGTTCTACACTACAATAGATATTCCTATTTTTATATACAATGGATTTTTTCATATTGCGGTAACATAATAGGATTGCCTGTCGACTCTATATTGCGATCCTATAATCACCATCATCATCCTCTTTTTATTAATATTCATAAAACAGTTATACATTAACAAAAGCAACTATTGCCCACGCAAATATTTTTACTAGTAACATATGAGGATGAATAAGGTTATAAAATATTGGGACGAAACACCCCCGCCTATTTGGAATGTTAGTATTTGGGTTAGTTAAAATCGCGAAGAACTGCTGTAGCCTACATAACAAAAAAAATTTAAATAGTAAATAAATAAATATCGAGTGGGTAGGTACCTAAATGTGTGGCCAAACTACAAATCAAACCCTAAATGATTATTTTAGAGCTGTATAGTTGGATTGACGTTCTACGATAATATTTTTTATGTCATTTACTTTGAAGAATTGCAAAGGAAAATATTTTTAGGTTTTATTATTATTAGACCCAGTCGTTACGAACACTTCTTCCTTGGTGACAGGACAGGAATCTGTACCAATAAAATAGTAGAAGTGTGATTTCAAAATATATACCAATTTAAGTCAAAACAGATATTTATAAATAGTTTTAATTTTGAAATATCCCCGATGTTATATTGTATTTCACTGTTTAAACGGCATTATATCAAACAAGTTCATTTTTTTACTAACGAAAAACAAAACCGACTTCAAATATCTCGCTCTGTATCCATTTTATAATCGATTTTCAAGAGTTCCCTAAGCATCTCTGGCACCCAAGATCCAATTCCAATCAAATCAATATGGGACCACATGGGAAACACCAGGTTTCAAAAAAAGAATCATCAAAATCGGTTCCCTCCGTCGATAGTTCATAGGTAACAAACATAAAACAAAAGAATTCCTCCTTCTTTTTTGAAGTCGGTTAATTAAAATCACCGTTTCAAACATAACCATATCAAAGTTTACGAAACGGTAAACTTTGCAGCAAAATATAATTTGACCTGAATTAAAGTTCAAATGAATAATGGTTCTTACTACTTATCTTATTTCTTAAAATATAAAAATTTGATAAATAATTAAATTATGCGGTATGTGTATTGGTAACTCAGTTCACCTTTGACTTGTAAAAGAAAAAACTCAGAAAATCCTACAGTCCCACAATGTAAATTGTAAATAAAGAAAATGTCCTTTTTTAATTTTTATCAATTAAAAATCCATTATATTTATTTCCATAATCCATATAAAAATATAATAAGCTGCTACTATAATAAAATAATGAGCTGGTTCTTTTCTCGCTCAAAGGCTAAGCATAACTATTCAGCGAGGAAATGCAGCTAGCGTTCTTGGCACCAGCGGCGTGTATTAGGTTTATTAGATAATATGTAATTTTAGATAGATTAACGCCCGGTTTCTGAAACACTAATCATCGTAGATGTCAACTAATCAGCTGTCAAATTGCTTTTCAAATTTTATTTTAGTTTCCGAGAGGACAGGTAAACTCTCTGAATTGACCAGAATGATCTTCTTGTTTATCAGAATGATCAATTAAAAGAGTTGAACCATCCTTTTGGCAACTAAAATGAAACTAAAAAGCCAGAAAGTCAAGAAAGTGAAAAGTCAGTGTTTCAGAAACTGGGCGTAAATCTTGTAAATATTATATTTTTATATCAATTAAAATAGACCAAAGTTAATGTAGTAATTCCCACAACTGGTCACATAACAATAACTGCAGGACAGTAATTGATAGTCTTAAAAGACGTAAGAGAAGCGTCAGTATGCTCACTAAAAGTAGTTCAGGAAAGAAATGAAATACAGAAAAACACTTATCCGCGAAATCAAACTTTTCCGTTTTCTCACGAACGACGGGAACAAATTAATCCAATGGTACAAAAACTTCGAAAATTTGTCTCGAAATAGTCTAAACGAAATCGATTTGAAGTTTTTTTTTTTTCAAAATAAAAAACCTATTTCCGTCCCCCGAAAACGGTCCATTTATCGTCGATCCACAACTGCCATTACACTATAATACAATTTTAATATCATTGCGGTGTTCGTAATAACGAAGCATTATAAACGGACGTGACTTCTGTCCCGTCATTAGGACATTTCGGTTTGAAATTTCAGAAAGGTAACAAAAAAAACCCGTCATAATTTCCGAGGCCCTTTGTGGGACCGTTTTATGACTAATTTACTTGTGTATTTTCTTAAGTTTTGTTAAGTCGAAATTGAAGTGAGTTTTGTTACTTACCGACATACTTTGCCGGCATAATTTACATAACATTAAACATAACAATAATCGTAACTTGTGTCTCTTTTAGTCCACTGTTGCATACAAGCCAGATATGCCACAAAGCACGATTCTGAGCTACTGAGATGACGATCCATCGACTTCTCGCTTGTAAAGCGTTGAAAATCTCTTTATTTATAGAATATATTTATATAATTTTTAAAGGAAGATATTCATTTAAGAACTCCAACGCGAGCGAAGCCGCGGGCGACAAGCTAGTTTGCTATAAAAACAAAATATTAAAATCTGTTCTTTGATGGTAGAACATCACTGTCTAATTTTGGAGAAAAAATAGAAAAGTACTCGTTATAAATGTATGTACTCATACTTTCAATATGGGTATATCGAAACAAGCATGTACTATTACGATAGTCAAAACGATCAATAGCGCCTTATGAGTTTGATCAAAAGCAAGGGTAAAACATATTTCAATACTTCCGAAGCTATAATTACGCGTTCTGAATACAAAATTGTGCATAATGCTCACGATCCGGTAATCGATTCTGCATACAATGATCGAGACTTCTGGGAAAATACAGTTCAATTTATTATTATGAGAACAATATACTTTTTATTCGCATTAGCATAATGGTGGCATTGAAGTATTAATTCAAATAACAATGTAGGTATCTCAGAATATGGCATTGACGAGTATAGTATACATGTTTATTTTAAAAGTCTACTATATGGAGTAACGACCTCTGTAAATGTGCGGGAAGTAGATGGTTGCAGGTTTCTAGGATCTTACTTCATCGCAGTCTGTAGAAGAGCCCTATATCCAAAAATGGACTGGAATGATGATAACGACTATGATAACCTGCCCAAAATTTATGCTGAAATGTAGTACTGCGAAGTTGCATCTCATACGTAGTGCGAAAGAGGTGGTAAATTAACAAGCAGCTTGTTTGATGGCAAGAGATCCTCACCACCCATGGTTGACACAACGCTAGGGTTGCCAGCTTTTAAGGCAGGAATAGACTCTCCCATTGTAGACTCTAAGCAGTGCCAGTCCGGTAGCACCCCTACAATTTAATCCACAATATTGGCAGAAAATTTCTCGATAAGTGCATAGGCACGCTTTATCGCTACAGTAATCAAAGGTCAAGGTCTCAGACTACCTGGGCGCGAGCTTTTTACAAGATAATTCGGCTTTCTCGTCCTAAGTATTTCAACGCTATTTCGTTTAGCGGATGTCCATGGGTATCGCTATTCACTTAACATCAGATGAACCGTCTGCTCGTTTGGCAACTTTTCACATAAAAAAGAACTAAATTAAACGGCGACAATCATTTCGTACTTTTTCTACAAATTAAATTACAAAGAAGCACTATATTTATAACACAATATTTTTCTAGTAGTGGGGATCGAACCCACACCCTCTGACGCAAGAGACAGAGTGACCCAAGTGGCGTAGGTGATAACGCCAATTGGGTCGTCAAAATAATAAATCCCCAATCACTTTAGATGTAAGAGCTTTTGTTAATCGACGTTACTATTCCATTGATACTTTCTATTCTAGATAATAAGACCGTGGAAAAATAATTATGATTCCGTGAGCCTATAACCTCTGTCAATTTGGACGCAACCTTTTTACTCTATTTGGCGGCTTGATCGTGTCGTCTGTAAATCGTAGGGAAAATTCTCAGAAGGGAAGGCTGGTATCGCGTGAGGGCATCCGTATTAGCCGTCAAATGAGCCACGCGGGCGATTGGAACGAGACGAGGATCGGCGCGTCATGCGACGTTATAGTAACTACACACGATATTGGTCGCGTCAGTTCAACTGTTTATCAACATTGCCATTACTGTATGTTAATATAATATCGCGTTGATAGTAATGTAATAATGTGCAAATTAGTATTCACGAATGAAAGGTGTCTAATATTGAGGAGTAACGGAAACCTTAATTTAGAGAAATTGTCAATAGATGGCATTAATATACATTACTTTTATGAAGTTTCTAAACAATTTTTTTTATGATAACAATAACTTCATTCTGGTTTACGTCACGAGGGGCAAACATAAACTTTAAAATTGAGTTTCAAAGTTTGAATCATTAAATTTGTTGAAGAATTTTGGAAGTTACGGCATTTCGACAAAACACCTTTGAAATATAAAATATCCTCTATATTTTCTATTTTATATTCTTATTATATGTTATTACTCTCTTTATGTATTTTTTAAAGATATGTCTTTGAATTATTTCTTTACACATAATGTATATAGCCTAATGATGTGAGCTTTAGTGCTCAGAACGGATGTATTAGCAATTTATACTAAATACGTTGAATATTTACTCATCCCAAAGTAACTTTACATTAAACACGAACTCAAATCATACTTCATAATTTTTATCCCAATATCCATTCGTAAAGCAAATTTGCTAACTTCATTAAGAGTACTGTTTCACCTTTTCTATATCAATAAAGTTTTCATTGAACAACACGAAAGCATATTCTTATCTTCAAGACAATACATTTTTGTCATGGACACACCAATACGAACAGTTCCCAGTAGAACCACCGCACCAAACAGAGGAGTCTACGTTGACATTTCTGTGAACGTATTTTTTTGTCACGGATTCGCGTCCAAAGCGTAATTACACCCAAACAGACTAACTAAGATCGCAAAACACAGTCTGCAGACAACCCGGTAATGATATACGATACATCTCATTATTAGTGGCACGAGAGTGAACGTGAAACGTAACATTGTTATTACTAAGCCACCCGCATTACGAAAAACTGAAGCGCAAAAACTGACCTCAAACACGTGCATGTTAATTTTGTGGGTATTTAATGGTGTCAAGAAATTGAATGTTGTTTACTGTGGTCGGGCCTTACAGCAGCCTCGGCTGTTGCACGAATGGGCAGGCTTGTCCGGGTAAGTACCACGACCTCACAGAAGATCGGCGTAAAGTGGAAGTATAATACTTTCACGTTTCGTCTGGTGAGTGAGGTAGTCGAAGCCTAATTTTCAAAAGGTTGTCAATGCATCTGCAACCCTCGGGTGTAATAAATGTCGATGGGCGGCGGTATTCAAAACACAAAATTACAATATTATTAACTGACGAAGGAAAAGCATTTTCATATCATCTTAACCATTTAAATCTACAAATAAAGTGTACAGAACTACAAATGAAGAATCATGTTTTTAACGAAGAAACGATGAAACTTCAATAAAAGTTGGGGTTCTACAAATTACGATTGCAAGCTCCCGATATCAATTTAATTATTCGCAGACCTTAAAATATAAAATCCTTGAGTGGTTTATAGCTGAATTAAATATCTTATAAATTTTGAAGAAATTATTTAATGTGTCTGCTACGTTTGTCTATTTCGCTTTTCGGCAATAAACGTCGGACACAAACGTCTGGAATAATGCGATAGTTTTAAACTGTTCACGCGTCTCTTTGAGTAACCCTAAATATCGCGTTAGTAGCGAAGGATCTGTCGCCTACTTCGAAATTGGTTTCAAAGTCCACAAAGTTTGACAAACTAGCGGATGATTGATGCGCCAGCCAATTATCCCCGAAGAGACGTCACCCGCCGACGTAAAGCCGATGTAAAACACGCGATTTTAAAGACCACGATAACAACCATATTAAAATAAAAGCGCGTCTGATGACACTCACGTTTGTTGAAGAATAGTTAATTAACCTATAAACTGATAGAAAGGTACTCCTATTTGTCTTAACAGGATATATAACAATCAAGTAGTAATTACACCTTTATCGATCATTAATCATACCCCAGAGCATTTATTGTACAATTAAATATTCGTTTATTCGTCAAGTAACGTCTTAATAACAAACCTTTGACATTTCGCATATGAACTGACTTAATCTCTCCGCAAAAGCTATCTACCGTTACATATATATATTAAAACCGCAACACGTTTTATTTTTATGTGTAAAGTTGTCAAGCGAGCAGGCGGTTCACCTGATGTTCAGTGACAATCCCATAGACATCTTCAACACCCGATGGCTTGCAGATACGTCGACAACATTTAGAAAAGTGGTCCCTACTTCTACTACTTCTATTAGATGCAAGATAAGCACTCTACCTGAAGGTAAATACGGTAAGTAAGGATTAAGTCAGTTACGTGCATAGAAGATGGCAAACGAGGAAACAGTAAATGGTAAAGCTCAGTATTCGAAATACCAGTGGTAGTTTGCTGTGGTTGGGCCACGTAGCAGTCTGCGTGAATGGAGAGGTCCATCGGTAAGTACCGAGGCTCACAGTATACCAGCGTGAAGTGGATGTGTTATACTTCTGCGTTTCGTCCGGTTGGTGAGGTAAACTTTACTTCGTGAGGTGACGCATCTGCAGCCCTTAATACTCCCTTCTCTTATGTTCTCAAATAAATTCTTATGAGGCCCTAGCTGTTGATGCGTCGTAAATTTTTAAAACACGACCAAGGTCCAAGGTTCGCGCGTCATCCGTCAAAGTCACTCCGTCACTTTAAAATTGATGTTTGTTTCATTTTATTTCCACCGCCGTTGAGGGGGAGATTTAAAAGCGTTATCGGGTACGGACGTTGAAAATAATAGAGGGGCAAGAGCGAATTTTTAAACATCGCAAAGTCGCCCGAATCAATTATTGATGCATCCATTCGATTGCAATGTAGGCGCTTAGATTTGATGTCAGTGAGGTCATGGACATGTGTGACTGCTGGTATAGAAGTGCACAATGAAAGGGTCAATTCGGAGTCCATTATGTTTGTTAGATACAGACAATTAAAGTTAATACGATCAGTTTCCGAACGCAGCATATTAGCAAGCGCCCTATCAAGCATGATTGTCTATGTCATTATATATTGTCAGTTACGGTCCGGTTAAACGTAGTGATTACATTCTCTTTGGGTCCGGTCGCCATCTTATGTAATGTCATAATAACTTACCAAATGAATCACTGCTATGTATGTGCCAGTTAATATTCAACACCCTACTTCCAATAAGTATATGTATACTAAATACGTGTTAGAGACACAAAAAAAGTTACAATAGTCGGAACATTACTATGTATGTACATAGTAATGTTCCGTCTATTGTAACTTTTTTTATGGAAAAAGAAACAACGAGCACGTGGCTCACTTGATGGTAAGTGATCAACCCATGGACACTTGTAACGTTGGAGGAGTCAACACTGCGTTGCCAGCCTTTGTCCACAAGAACACAAAACCAGCCGAAACACACGGGAAGACGTAGAAGCAATCTTCCGTGATCCCGGCGAGACCTTCTTGAGCCTTCTCTTCTCCCATGTTACCTGGCCTAGCCAAATAGTGCTGTGCTGGTGCAATTAGCACAGCACCCGTTTCGAGCCCCGTGCTGAGAGGCAGACACCCCCATTCCTGCCGCTTGGGGCCTCACTATCATCGGGGAAGATATAAATAGCCAAGAGCTACATACGCCAGATAATCAACGTCTTATCTACTATGTTTTATTACATTTGCAGAATTCGCGACGCTGTGGCGAGAGTTGTATAGGATGTTACAAATTTTGTTTCTTTTTTACTTAATTAGTTTGTTTGAAAAATATATTTTTTTAATTATGGATTTTGTTTAACGTTAATATTTTTTTATGATTATTGGCAAGTAGCGTTAGACGTGTGTTCATTTATTGTCGCGATGGTAACGACACGCTGTATATACGGCTGACCTCGTAAGAGTCGTGGGCAACCGGTGGATGCAAATGGCAAAGTCCCTTGTCGTTCGTCGTGGCGTTCCTATGTTGGACAGTGAACGTCATGCAGCGGATGACGATGATGACAGCTGCCATTGCTCTTCACATGATACTCGCAACTTCCACCCGATTAATTAAAAACCAATTATTATTAGTTAGTAAAAATTATTTAAATTAAATGTGTTGATTGCTTCTAATCCAGCGTTATATTAAGAGGGTTAGAGGTGGGCAAAATGGTTTCGGGTACAACGAACGGTGACAGCCATCCCGTAAGTCCCTATTAGATGCGAGTGCGGTCCCCTAATGAGTCGACGGAATTGCGAACCACGTTTATGGAGCACAGCTTGATTATTTTTCAATTCGCATTCAACATTGCTTCGATATATTTTTTTAAATTACAAAATGGCTTACATACAACGCGGGACACGTAATTGATTTATCTAATAGTAATGACTTTTGCACGACGAAATTCTCAAAGTGGATGAGAAGATTGAAAGACAGCAAACGGAAATGACCAACAATTTTTATTTTTTTTATTTATTTGGTTTACCAGCAATTGTTACATTTATACATTCATTAGTATTAGTATACAGTACATTTCTGTAGCTAAATGCACAATTAATTAAAAGTAAACAACACATGCGAAGTACATCAAGTAACATCAATAAGAAATGTGTACAGAATACAATATAAAAAAGTATAATAAGTTTAGAAAGGCAACAATTTTATAAATATTTCATAGTTAAATAAAGTTTATTTATTTTCGCGAAGGATAGTCATCAGTTACTGAATGGTAACTTAAAAATGTATAAATAAGTATTTATCAATTAAATGTACTTTATTTCGAAGAATACAGTTGCTATGATACATTATCTCATACAGAATATAATATATGTATATTCTTACTTCTTTTGTATATATTATTCTTTAAAAGAAATTTTGAAACGAAATCTTTTTAGCGCCAAACTTAAGCTTTAAAATGGTATTTGAATCATTTAATTTGTTGAAGAATTATGGAAGTTAAAGCGTACCGACCATCTTTGCGAAATTATTTAATGAATATTATTTAATTTAATCTGAAAAACCTAATTACAGTTTAATTTCTTTCTGACTTACTACAAGTAGGCAGTACTAGTCCTTTAGAGTTAATTCTTGATGATATCCAGTATTATGCGTCAATTGTGGTAAGAGCATTATAAAAATATATAAATAACTAGCTGCTGCCCGCGACTACGTCTGCGTTATTCTACGGCTGAAGGCGTAAACTTCAGACAGAAAGACAGATGTACATAAAATATTTATATAAATTATAGCCTAAGTATATCTTATTCTGCTGTATAAGCTATATTATTGTAGTTTCATTAAAATCCATTCAGTAGTATTTGCGTGAAAGAGTAACAAACATCCATCCATACATACAAACATTCACCTTTGTAATATTAGTAGGGATTTAAAAAATAAACATATATACAGTAGCTATAACAAACATCAACATTCAAGCGGGAAGCCCACCTCCATTGAACTGCGAAATTCGTAGCTCGTTGGCAACCTCAAATTACGTTCCGGCACCGGATTAAATTTGATGCGGCGCTAATCATTCTCACTTACAACGCTAATTGCTTTCCCTAACATTCTACGTGCATTAAATTATCACGTTAATGTTATTTTGACGCAATGTTCCGAACGCGACTGTTACTCTTGTTTCAACAGTGTTAACATTGACAACTACTAAAACATCTGCTAAAGATGAAAGATCTATGGATTGACAACATAATATGTATCTTTAGCACTATGGAGACAAAACTAAGAATTAAATTTCGTGAATATGATAATATGTAAATCGAATACAACATTTTTTCTTAGTGACATCATAAAATAAGTTGCAATCAATGCGCCTCTGCGTCCTGAATAAAAGCTTTACAGTAAGGTAAGTCTTATTGAGAGCTTCATAGGTAAAATCAATGTTTATTTTGATTAAACCTTTATTAGACAAAAATATTTGTTTGACTACCTGACAATTTATAAATAAACATTTCCTCCACGACCCATTTATGTGGCTGGTAATAAAAGGACAGGTTCTTTTCTCGTGCAAAGTTTCATTTAGAGAGAAAATGTAGATGGCATTTTGAGTGATTGGCACTTGAGAATTTTGAGACGCTTCATGGGCTAGATTTATTAGATAACGTTTGATTGAGTTACTGTTAAAAATTGTATTTTACTATAAATAAATAAACACTTTAAATGGCGCGATATGACGGTTTACAGTAGTAGGGCCACGCAGCAGCCTCGGCAGTTGCACGAATGGGCAGGCCCGTCCGGCTAAGTACCACGACCTCACAGAAGACCAGCGTAAAGTGGAAGTATGACAAATACTTTCCCGTTTCGTCTGGTGAGTGAGGTAGCCAGAGCCCAATTTTCAAAAGGTTGGCAACGCATCTGTAACCCTCGGGTGTAGCAGATGTCCATGGGCGGCGGTATTCACTTACCATCAGGTGAACCGTCTGCTCGTTTGGCAACTTTTCACATAAAAAAAAAGTAAACGACGAATTTGTGATCAAGGTGCACGAGTTCAATTAAATCAAAAGGCTTTATTAAGTTTAAAGCTATAAATATAAAAAGATCCTAGAAACTTAATCCCGTGGCCACATGTCATGTGCATGTCTTCGAAACGTGTGAGAATTGGGGACCAAATTAAGTGGGGTTAAAAAAACCATACAAAAGTTTTGTTTAAGGATTCTTCGTATTTGTTTTGAAGACAACATCTAAAGGCAGGACAAGACATTAAAAATCCAAAAAAAGGATGTACAGAAAATACACTTTATGTAAGACTTATTTAATTTCCAAGCATCTCTGGCGATAAATAGTTATGGGAACAACTTATTGAGAGCCGTATCTTTAATACGTACATGTACGCTTAATTCCTCCTGACCTCTCTTCAATTCCGAAATTATGTCAGCCTCTTGACAATATTCTAACATTATCTCGCGTTGCATCTAATATCCGTGCGAATAACGTTTCGAGCCACGACCAAAATAACTAGACCCCTAGGTGTTGGCAAAGTATGCCCTCCCCGTCGCAATCGACTCACAATATGGGGCAGGGGTAGGTCAGGGAATGGTCCGTTTTATAGTCCCTGGAGCGAAGTCATCCTCTAGAGACGAATTATAAACATTTGGAAATCGTCACACGACTCTATCAGATGCAATCCCACGATAGCGCAGCTCAAACAATTTACGTGCACTAGTTGCTGCACGCGACTATTCTCGTCAAATGGCTTAATGATCTCCGTATTGCAGAGGAATCATTTCCCGGTTATTTAATTTTTAATATCATGTCGTCCCTATATGTTAAAATAAAAAATACCAAGGGGACATCTTTTAAATTATTCTTTTACAAAATAATGTCTACATTTTTGTATAGTTTGTTTTGGTTAAAGAGGAAAAAATATCAATAACTTAAATAAAATTCTTTACATATTACCTTTGTGTATTGAATCAAATCAATATGTGCAATATCTTACTGATTTGAAGCCGTATTATACATAAAAGTATTAATGTACTTTTATATATAATACGGGCATAATTATTTAATAAAAAATACAGCCGAAATAATGTATTTGCGTTAATAAAATTTATTACGAAATGCAACATTACTGGCAACTGTCGTCCAAAATTTATTCACTGAAAGACTTGCCAGCTAATTTATGCAGCGAAAGTTCAGTCTTCACACAACACAGAAAATAATTTGTAGATGAACTAAATGATAAAGATCAATTACCGTTTTAAATTCAACTATATCGTGCGAAATAGGATTAGGGCGAAGTGATATCTAAAACATATGACTCCCTTGTCTCTGCACCAGCTTGACTTAACAACGGGTTACGCTAAGTGCACAAACAATTAAACAATCCGATTCGGCACAATAAAACGGACAGCCGTATCACTCATACATCAGGGGTATTCCCCTACTTTTTATTAACACGTAAAATCGCCCTACCCTCGTATAAAACAATAACATTTTTGTAATCCCCGGCCTAACAAGTGCACCTCCATAAACTTTCCATCCGTATCCCACAAAGCTTTGGGGTTTGCGAGGCCCCCGGAGATTACCAGTGTTAACTGGCGTTTGATATTACTTTTCGAAAACGTGCCAAATTGTGCTGTGCACCGATGAACACGAAGTTCGAAATTAAGCATTGCGTAAAAGTCGGTTAGCACCTTTTGGTTCTGTGTTACTTCGTTAACAGTCTACTAGAAACGGTGCTGTAAACCGGGCTTTACGCTATTCTGATACGGTTCGATTTTAGATGGTTTATGTGCACGCATAAAGGATGTTTCGAAATATAGGTGACAGGCGTGATTCCCATAATCTGTAATGCTGTAGTGAATTTTGCACTTGACTGTTTAGAAGCACACTCAATGAATGGGCGGCATCTTGTTGCTAAATTACGGGGGGGCCTGATAGTGCAGACTGGCGTATCTCACCCATTGATGTCTTTATATTTTCGTTTCTCACGCTTGGTTTGTTTTCATTTGTCGCTTAATGTGTTGTGAAATTGTTAATGGTTAGTGCAATAGAGAACAATTCAGAGAGCCGAGTGGCAGATGTTTTTATTTGCATCCAACCGATTTGAATGGTATACTTTATCAATAATTTTATACATAAAAAATATCTTACAAATATTTTTCTATCATAGATCTGTAAGACTGATTCTATTGAGGGTAACTCGCGACATTTCGATCTCTACAACATCGATAGTAACTATTCCGTCACTGTGTAATAAAAAATCTGTCTAATTTTGGGTTTCATCGTGTTAATGATTTTATTTAAAACTTAATATTTTAGCGATATTTCCGGACCGATACGACTTAAGCACCTTCAAGAAGAGAGCCTGTTTCTTCCTCAAAGGTTGGCAACGCATTTGTGACTCCTCTGGTGTTGCGAGTGTCCATGGGCGGCAGTAATCACGTATCACCTGGGAGCTCGTTTGCCTCCTTTTCCATAAAAAAAGAAAGCTTAGGCTTTTGACTGTGACATTTACGTTTTCTAGATAATTTTGACTACATAATATGTAGTTCAATGAACAATTTCTCATC